CCGGGTGTGGTGCATGGCCTGAGGTCCCTCTTCAAGGCCTGCGGGGTGGGGGGCGCAGCCTGAGGTCCCCCTTCAAGGCCTGCGGGGTGGGGGGCGCAGCCTGAGGTCCCCCTTCAAGGCCTGCGGGGTGGGGGGGCGCAGCCTGAGGTCCCCTGTCAAGCCCCGCCAGATGGGGTGCATGGCCTGGGTCCCTCTTCAAGGCCTGCGAGGTGGGAGGCGCAGCCTGAGGTCCCACGTGAAGCCCCGCTGGGCCGGGGGCACGGCCTCAGGTCCCCCGTCAAGCCCTGCTGGGCGGGAGGCGTGGCCTGAGGTCCCCTGTCAAGCCCTGCTAGGCAGGGGGCATGACCTGAGATCCCCCGTCAAGCCCCACTGGGAGGGGGGCGCAGCCTCAGGTTCCCTGTCCCAGCGCCATGCAGCCTCAGGTCCCTGCTGATCGCTCATTACGGGAACCCTGCCTCCATTTCGGGTGCAGCCATCTTGTGAAGATGCGATGGAGTGAGGGTCAATTTGCATATTACCTCTTTATTATATAGGATTGAGAGGTAGAATGCCACATAGTATTTAAAAATGGATTAAAAATATGCAAATGTATTATATATTTTCTTTTTCTCATGCAGCCTATTTTACATTAGCAGACCATATAATTTTGTATAAAAATATATGCTTTAAGTCCTAGATTCCTACAGATTACCGTTTTAAAAATGGGCTTTGACGATATTTTTTGAAGAATCCTATTCTTAAAAAGTAAATGCAGCTGCTCTTTAACAATTAAAAAAAGGGGGGGGGGAAGAAGAGTATTTTAAAGAGTCTACTAAAACTTTATTGTAAGTTGAAAATGTAACCTTCACTGTAATATGGCTCATAATCTATCTAACAGTAGATGTGGTCTGAAAGCTTTGTCACAGCCTTGATTGTGGTCAACCTGTCCTTCGGAAGAGGAAGGACAGATGGGAAAACTAGTGTATAATTTAAAATAATTAGATCACACATGTTTCAGCTTTGGTTGGGTACTTGTTGACAAAACTCCTTTTCTCTATTTTTAGCTGAACCATTTGTGTGTCCTCTAAGTGCCCCCAGTAATGAACTCCCTAAATTCTTAGCAAAAGTTATTCAAACCCAGTTTAATATATTTGAGGGAACTGATTTTATGTTTACTAGGCTCAAATAATATAATTTTAAGGATCTATCTAAAGTTTTCAGTCAACCTTCATAAATTGTTTTCAAATAAATGTTCCACTTTCCAGGAACTTAGTTTTTCCATTAAGTCCTGTGTCTAAATGGACTTGCTAAGTTGAACATAATTTAAATTTTTTTCTAAATCCTATACATTAATTAGGGAATAGAAATGAATAATTGAAATGATTTAGGGCTTAGATAAAAATATTTTTCTCCACTTAAAGAATTAGAATGAAATATTATCAGATTAAAAATAAATCATCAGTCCTAACCGGTTTGGCTCAGTGGATAAAGTGTCAGCCTGCAGACTCAAGGGTCTCAGGTTTGATTCTGGTCAAGGGCATGTACCTCGGTTGTGGGCACATCCCCAGTAGGGTGTGTACAGGAGGCAGCTGATCGGTGTTTCTCGTTTCTCTCTCATCGATGTTTCTAACTCTCTATCCCTCTCCCTTCCTCTCTGTAAAAAAATCAATTAAGTATATTTTTAAAAAAATAAAAAAATAAATCATCATTGATTAGGTAATAGTAATTATTACTATTTTCCCAGGGCTTAGTGTTTATAATTGCTTATGTTGGGGGCCTTCATATGTCATTTTATTTAATCCTTTTAATAATTTTGAGTTAAAAATTACTATTTCTGTTCTCTAAGTAAGTAAGTAATCTGGGACACAGAAATTATTAAATTTATTTAATAATAATAAATAAATGTGGTGCCTAATTGACCTTGGCAGTGCTGCAGGTGACAGGTGGTGCTAGTTTGTCCTCAGTGAGCTGACAAGATCTTCTCTTGCCCTTGGTCCTCAGATGTGAGACCCTTGCCCCGTCCCCAGGTTCTCAATTGGGGAATAAGATGGCACGATTGGAGTAAAAGCAGGCCAGGCCGAGAGACCCCACTGGTGCACAAATTCGTGCACTGGACCTCTAGTCTATATACTATATAAAAGCCTAAGCGACCAGCCAGGCCAGGTTGAGGGACCCCACCGGTGCATGATTATGGCTGGGGAGGTATGTGGGAGGTTGGCCAGCCAGGGCAGGACCATGGGAGGGCTCCGGGGCATGTCCGGCCCATTTCACTCAGTCCTGATTGGCCGGACCCCAGCAGCATGTTTGGTGGGAGCGGTGGTGGCAGCAGGCGCAGTGGGCCAGGATGAGTGGTTCAGCGCTGGGGCCCCGGCTCGGGCTCCTCCCCAGCCGCCTGCCACTTTGCGCACTGCTACATCCCTCAGGGAATGTTGGACTGCTGGTTTAGGCCCAATTGCCACAGGCCTGGCCTCTAGTATTCTATAGTTTTGGTGTACAAATATTGTTTTTGTTTTGTTAAATATTTTTAGTAAGTATTTTTTTTGATGGCTATTATAAATGGAATTGTCTTCTTAATTTCATTTCAGGATTATTTATTGCTAGTAGATAGAAATAGATCATTTTTAATATTGATTTTATATCTTATAATCTTGCTAAACGTGTTTATGTTAGTAGTTTATTGTTCTTTATCCTTTAGGATTTCCTACATATAAGAACATGTCTTTTGTAATAGATATGGTTTAACCTCTTCTTCTTTCCCAGTCTGGATGTCTTTTATTTTTCTTGCCTAATTCCCCTGGCTAGAACCTCTAATACTATGTTGAGTAGAAGTGGCAAGAGCAAACAGCTCTGTCTTTTACTCATCTTAGAAGGGGAAAGTGTTCAGCTTTTCACCATTAAGTATGATTTAAGCTGTGGGTTTGTTTGTTTTTTTATAAGTGCTCTTTATCAGGTTGAGGATGTTTATTCTATTACTAATGAATTGGATTTTTTAAATAAAAAAATGGGTGTTATTAACTTTTTTGAATTTGAGATGATCATGTGCTTTTTTTCTTTCAATTAATCAATGTGGTGTGTTATATTGATTAATTTTCAGATGTTAAACAAACCTTATATTCCAGAGGTAAATCCAACTTGGTTGTGATGTATAATCCTTTTTATATGTTGCTAGATTTGGTTTGTAATACTTTGTTGAGGATTTTTTGTATCTTTATTCATAAGGAATGTTGGTATATATTCTTGTGATTCTCTGATTGGTATTGGTATTAGGATAATAGTGGCCTCATAGAATGATTTGAGAAGTTTTTCTTTTTTTCGGAGGGGGGTGTAAAATTGGGTAAAATTTTAAAGTGGAAAACAAATACACTGTACAACTTGAAAGAGATTTGAAGCAAATTGTGCCATAAGCAGATTTTCTTTAGGTAGCTAAACAAAGTTTAAAAAGCAAGTAACAATAAAAGAAAATGTTTCTGGTATAGGACCAGCAGTATTAAAAAATAGCATGCGAGTACCTGGATAATACACCTGTTTTGCAGTAGTGCAACTTTTAAGTGCATATTGTTGACCATCCATAGTCCACGCAGAGTTACAACCCTACACTTCACCAACAACATTCTGACAGTTGCTAAAGAAAACTACTTTAGAAAAAGGCATAACCCAGATGTTCCCTCATTTGACCAACTCCACCTAAGTTTAGGTTTGCAGAGGACTTAGGTATATCCAGAGTAAGCCACAAGCAACATGTTTGATCAGTTATTTTATTTTTTTATTCATTTTTAGAGATGGGGGGAGGAGAGAAGGGGGTCAAGAGGGAGGGAGGAAGGGAAAAAGGGATAAAAGGAGGGAGGAAAGAGGAGAGGAAAAGAGAGAGAGAAAAAGAGAGAAACATTGATTTCTTGTTCCACTTACCCATGCATTCATTCATTGGTTGATTTCTGTATGTGCCCTGACCCAGGATTGAACCCGCAACCCTGGCGTGTAGGGACGACACTCAAACCAACTGAGCTACCTGGCCAGGACTTGATCTATATTTCTAAAATAAGGTTGCAGGACAATGATAAGTAAGATAAACAAAGAAAACATGGAGGAATGAAGTTCTAATTACTATACCTGCATATTTATTGACAGTAGAGGGAAACCTTTTACAGATAAGTTACAAAGAAAAGGCAAATAAATAATTTTGTACAACAAATTGAACACATTCTGTACAGATGTTGTCACTTTGCTGTCATCATTTGTACAACTCTTCATAGTTTACTTGACCATCGCCATCAGTATCTGCTTCCGTGATCATTTCATCATCATCATTTTCATCTGTTAATTTCTCTCCAAGGTGTGTCATCACATGTTGAAGCTCTGCTGCACTAACATAGCCATTGCCATCCTAACCAAACACACAGATACTTCTCTAATTTTTTTCTTCACTGTCTTATTTTTTTTCGCCATCATTGTCAGAAGTTTCAGGAAGTCAGTTGTACCATTACCCTCAGCATCTATTTCATTAATCATGTCCTATAGCTGCCTCTGTGGGATTCTGTCCAAGAGACCTCTTACAGTTCCCAATTTTTGTTGTTGTTATAGTTTCATTACCACCTTTATCAAATAGTGAAAAAGCGGCTTTGAATTCTGCAATCTGCTCTTGAGTCAGTTTGTCAGCCTTCTGTGCTGCAAGTGCTGTTGGTCTCCAAGACGTGACCACATAGCCACTCAGCTCACTTGCTCCCCTCGGACTCGAGAAGTTTTTCTTATGCTTCCGTTTTATTAAAAAGTTTGTGAAGGATTAATATTAATTCTTCTTTAAACATTTGGTAGAATATATCTGGGTCTGTGCTTTTCTTTGTGGGAAGTTTTAAAATTACTAATTTAATCTAATATTTTTGTTAAGACTAATTATAAGTGAACATTCATCTTGCAAATACCAATTGATATTTGACTATTCAGCCAACTTTTCTCCCGTGTAATATTCAAATAGATAGAGATTTTTGATATACTTACTTTTAACTTTATTTTTTCTTCTGTTAAAGGTCTGTAACTACTTGGGAATCAGTAAGCCATGGCATCAAAGAAATTTGCTATTAAAGTAAGTAATGCTTAATAATCTTCTTTAAAATGATTAATCACTTTCTGGTATAGCTAAGTTCTATGTTAATTGAAAGTAGAATCTCTGAACTTTTCTTCTATTCTTTAAATTTGGTTCTCCACTGAAAACTTTAAATAGGGGATTGAAAATTTTCATGTTTAGAATGAAAAGGGGGAGAAAATTTGTAGTTTATATGATTATGGGAGTTGCTGACTTCTGACCAAAAGGCATTACTCAGTCCTTAATTTAAAAATTATCATTCACATTGTATGTTCATGACATAATTTTTTATTCTGACAAGCAGATGAAAAAGAAAAAGTAGGCATCAAATGTTGCACCTGGTGAATGCCAGGCAAGAGTTCTCTTGCCTGGCTGCCCTCTTTTGCTTTCCTTTTACAAGTGTCTCTTCTCTATCCCTGAATGTTTGGCGCTGGGAGGATTGTGTATGTGGGAATGAGGCGGGAAGAACTGATAAATAGTGGGTATAAGGTCTCAGAGATGCTTTCATATATATTGGCTCATTTTTAAGGGTATTTTCTCTATCCTACATTTTATTTAGTATGAATTCAAAACACCAAAATAGACAAATTAGTTAACCAGGTCAGATACTATTTAAAATTATAATTGTATCTTTTTAGCATGTCAGTGCTTATTTAGATTTACAACATATTTATAAATTCTATTGCTTATAGTCATTTCTTACTGGTATACCAATTGTTCTGTATTATTTCTCTCTGTGAGAGATTATTAAGTGGTGAACTTTCACTATTTGTCTAAAAATATATTTTGATCTTATTCTAGAAAATTATATAGTTTGTTATAGAATTCTAGGTTGAGCATTATTTTTCCTCAACACTTTAGAGATATTTTTCCATTATCTTCTGGAATCTACTGTTGCAACTGAAAAATGTTTTAATTATCAATTTAAAATTTACATTTAGTGTCTTAAAAAATGAGCCATTTTGTTCTTTCTCATGATTCTGTAAGTTGCCTGGTATCAGTGGGGTCGTTTCTCTTTTTGATGTTGCCTGGGGCTACAGTTATCTGGGGACTCAATTCAGATAGACCATCAAAGATGACTACTCACAGTTAATACTTGGCTGCATGTGGAATCATACTTGGGACTGTAAATTGTTGCCCTTCTAGTTCTCATTTGTGTGGCTACTCTGCATGGGTTGGGCTTCTTCTACCTTGGTAGCCGAGATTTGAAAGATGGTGTCCCACAGCAAGAGTTTCAAGAAGAAAGAAGTGTAATTTGCCAGTCCTCTTATTGGCAGCCAAAGTCTCAGGTGCCATTTCTGTGGCATTCTATTGGTCAGTGCATTCTAACCCAGCCCCAGGGAAGCTGCACCTCTTGATATGAGAAGCAGTATGCACTTACAGGGAAGGGGAAGCTTGGTGGGGGAATCTGTGGAGACTAGTTACCACAGAAATCTGCTGTCAGCCTCATTGTGATTCCTTTCTTTGTTATTGGTCTTTTCTGTCTGGTTGCTTTATAAGATTTTATTTCTCTTTGTGATGTTCTGCAATTCTCCTATTAAATCTCAAGATAAAGACTTGCATTTATTTATCTGACTTGGGATGCGATATACATCTTCATTTGAAAGATTCAAGTTTTTATTCGTTGTGGAAAATCTTGATCATTTTCCCTTTGGGTACTGCGCCTCTTTTTTCTCCCCCTGCGTAATCTCAGTTTCAGCCAAGTAGAACTTGAAACTCTTATACAGTGGGGCCTTGACTTACGAATTTAATTCATTCCGTAACGGAGCTTGTAACTCAAATTACTCATATGTCAAATCAAAAAGTGAACGAGTGAGACACGTGATGCTGGGCTGATGTTGTGGCGTTCACTGTGACGTTCGCTGCGCCAACTAGCGGTGGGGTATCTGAAGCTGGCTCGTAACCCGAATTTTAGCTCGCAACTCAAAGCAAAAAATTGGCTGAGAGACGGCTCGTATCTTGAAAAACTCGTTAGTCGGGACACTCGTAAGTCAAGGCCCCACTGTACGGAGTTTGTTGGATAGTCTCATATAATAAACTAGAGGCCTAGTGCACAAAATTCATGCACGGGTGCGGTCCCTAGGCCTGGCTGGCAATCGAAGCACAAGTGTCTGGTGTGGAAGGGCAGGTCCCAGCGGACCTTTGGGCCCTGGGCAGCACTGGGCCCCCGGGCCCCCACGAGACCCCTCCTCCTGAGTCACAGTGCCCGAGTCCCCAAGCAGAGATGAAATGAGCACAACTGGACGCCATGGGCAGGGGCATGGCGTGGGCCTCTGGGCCGCCCAGCGGTGCTGCATAGAAGCTGGGTGGGCAGCGTGCTTTCTCCTGGCCGGCCTCACAGACTGGCTCCTGCGAGAACCCACAGGGAGCCCGACCAGCTCCTGTGGTCCCAGCAGCTGTGGCCCGCTCACCCGGAAGAGGGTGTGCAGGTGCAGGGTGGGCTCCTCACAGGCATCTGGCACCTGAGCGTGGGGGCTTCCCTGGCATGTGAGTCCTGGCGTCCCAGAGGAGGGTAGCAGGGGGAGTGAGAGTGAGCTCAGTGGACCCCTTGCATTCTCACCGCACCTCCATCCCATCACCCCCGCCCCCAGGTAGCTGGCGAGAGGTTGCAGCCCCCCGCCCGGGTGCCGCAGGAGGTTGGTCGCTGCCATCCACCCCCAGTTCCCTTCACCTGCTCCATTATCCCACCGTGGTCCTGCTCTTGCTGGGGTCTGTCGGGCCCAGCAGTGCCTCCACTGCTGCCTGCTGCCAGTGCTGCCTTGCTGATGCCCTCCATGTTCCACGTTGCCCCCCTGGTGGTCAGTGCATGTCATAGCGAGCGGTCGAACTCCCTGTCTCCAGGTCGAATGACTGCCCGAGGGACAATTTGCATATTAGGCTTTTATTATATAGGATAGTTTCTTATGTGTTAGAGGGGTGACATTAACTTATCCAGGATTGAGCCCCTCTAGGCAGTCTGCTCAGAAAAGGGCTGGGCCTCTTGCAAAGTTCTGCCCAAACTGGCTGTGACCCAGTAGAGGAAACAATCCTGGTCAACCACAAAGCTTGGACTCCCATCCCTAATTATGCCAGAGATGGGTCTGCTGATTTCCAGGCCATACACACTGATGTGGCAAATCCTGCTACTGTACTTTCCCATCTCACAGTTGTATCATGAAGGCTTAGAACCTAGCTCTTAGATTATGCGAAGCAGGGGAGTTACCCCAACCATGAGTATCAAGCTAATCAGATAGGGATATAAACAGGGTCCTGAAGCATTATATGAAAGACTTTACACATCACATTGTGATGGTATTCCTGCCTCTGATCACACAGGCAAAGGCCAGTGCTTCCCTAATCATGCGGCTTAAAAGCCCCAGGCACTGCGATGCCATTCTGAATATCTGACATCTCACCCTTCCAGATTGCTGTGCATGTCCATAGTGTCATGATTAGTAGGGGACATGCACACTTAATGATGTTGTTACCATGTGCCTTCTCTGATGAATGCTGTTCCAGTAATCTTGTATGAGTGCTGCTTGGCCATTTTCATTTTTTTTTCCTCTTCTTTTTCTGCCTCTATGTTGCATTCAGAGTGCTGTTTATCAGACCTTCTTTCTTTTTTTTTTTTTTTTAAATATATTTTTATTGATTTTTTACAGAGAGGAAGGGAGAGGGATAGAGAGTTAGAAACATCGATGAGAGAGAAACATCGACCAGCTGCCTCCCGCACACCTCCCACTGGGGATGTGCCCGCAACCAAGGTACATGCCCTTGACCGGAATCGAACCCGGGACCCTTCAGTCCGCAGGCCGACGCTCCATCCACCGAGCTAAACCGGTTTTGGCAGACCTTCTTTCATTTATTAAAAACTTTGCATCTATATTTAAGCTATTAATCTACTCTTTATTTTTAGTGACTGCATTTTTCATTTGAGAATATGTTTGGTTATTTTTTTAATTCAAAGGCTGCTAATTCTTTTTATATACTCGTTCTATTTTTTCAACATGTTTTCATTTCCTCCTTTTATGTCCTTCATAATTTTAAATTTATTTCAGTCTGTTTTGGATTGTTCTATTATTCCAACTATTATTTATGAAGTGTGGAATAAATTGGTCACTGAAATTATTGGATTGTTCATTGTGTAATTTTTAATTGTATACACACACACACACACACACAAGGGTGGAAAGACCTATGAGCCCCACAGAGCAGTTGAGTAGTTTCAAGTTTACTTCTGCTGGAGCCCTTGGCATTTCAATGAATTTGGACTAGGTTTTATATTAATTTCACGGCTTTGGATTCCACCACCTTGTGTGTAGTATAACTTTACAACTCAGAACAGAGTCTGGCACAAGGTTGGTGTTTGAGTAATTTCTTGGTTCTTCTCCCTTCTCCTCCCTCCTCCCACGGCCCTGGATAGATGGCAAGCTTCCATGTTGTTTCCCTTGGTTAGCGAGCAGAGATTTTTTATTTTATTTTTTTACATTTCCACGAAGGCTGCAGTTTGTCGTGACAGTGAAGGAAAAAGCTCTATTAAGTAGTTCCTATTCTAAGAAATTATGGACAAACTTGTCCATATGAACCAGAGAGTATAGGAGGATATGTACAGATTGAGTACTTATTCGTGTGTCAGGCATTGTGTGAAGAACTGAAAGTTGAAGTTCTTTACAGCTTTGGGCTTAACTAGAATGGGTTCATTCCCAACTCCCTTTTCTCTTCTATCCCTTTGGGGCATTAGGATACCAGCTCTAAGTTATCTTGGTTCTCAAACATTCTGAAGGCCAGGCTTGAACCTTCCAAAGGAGAGATGATTTCCCCCTCAGCTTTGTTGAGATATAATTGTCATATAATATTGTTAAGTTCAAGGTGTACAGTGTGACGATTTGATAAACATATATATGGTGAAGTGTTTACCACAATAAAGCTAACACATCCTTCACCTCACATAATTATCATTTTGTTGCTATGCTGAGAATATATTTTTTTTAAATATATTTTATTGATTTTTTACAGAGAGG